ACACACACACACACACACACACACACACACACACACACACACATGTTCCGCAAGGTACTTTACGTTGATTTCTTTTTCATAATATATTATGATTTAGCTGTGGCTGAAGTGCACTCATTGACATCGTTGTGTTGTTTACCTTTAAATGGACCAGATAATCCCCAAACAATGCAAACAGAGCTTTTTACGTGGTGAGACCGTGTGAGTGAGTGAAATTTAAAAATACGGGGTCAAGTTGACTTTGTCATTCAATGTTAGAAGGTAAAAAAGCCCCTCAATTTCATTGGGGGTTGTTGGGGAAAGGGGGGGGGACTGTATGTTGCTCTAACAAAACGCCCTAATTTAGTACTGGTGACCGCTACAGGGCACTCGGTCTTTGAAACCTGGAATTAGGAATGTCACTTAGAGACGCTGCCAGAAACTGCTAGAACACTTTCAAGGATAGTTGAACGGGAAATAATAACCGCCAATGTTTTTAACAAACAATCAAGTGGCCTTCCACACGCAACTAGCCCCCAACAATAAAGGCACATTATTCTGTTTCACAAATTTGCAGAGCTGATCCTAAGAAGTATCTGCAACAGCAGTAGAGATCTATGCAAGATATTGTTTTGTTTTGGTAAGTGTTTTACGACGCTCGCAACTTAATTAACTGCTTAAAGTTATATTAGCTCGCTGGACGCATTAAATATTTTCAAGTTGAGAGGAATAAATTTTAATATTGAATTTTGCCTGAGTGGCGGCCGAAGCATACTCTTATCGATGTTGGACCACCAAGGGATTTTTAACTTGTGCAACTTGCACATGGGACCTTTGACATTTTTAGCCCTTATCCGTGAAGGCTAGATCTTACCTACCCTAAGACCAAGGGTGTGGCCAAGCGGTAGCAGTAGAGAGGCTGCAAAAAGAGTCAGGAGCCCAGAGGATGGAGCAACGGGAAAAGGGGGGGGGGGCAGAAAGTGGAGACGAAAGCAGACGACAGAACATGGTTAGAGAGCAGGAAAGGAGGTGAACGGAGAACATTTGTAGAGAAGAATATGTTTTCCCATTGCTGTCAGGTTTCTAACCCAGGACCTATTGAATGAGAAGCGAACACCGTGACCTCTAGACCACGAGAGCTCCCATGGAAGATAATAAGGCGATGTGAATCCAATCACCATCTGCGATTGACTGCATGACGCAGGACGTCCTCGCCGATGACTTCATATTAGCCTTTGAGCTAATCTTTTGTATATTTGGTAACTTGGAAAAACAGGTGTCACTTTTCTCATAAAACTACGACAGCTACAGAGTCGAAAGTAGGCAGGTACCTGCAAAAAGATAGATAGGTCCCCATGACGGAGCCCGATTTTTTATTCATTCATTTCCTGAATTTAGAAAAATTTATCTCTCAAAAAGTTCCCGTCCTTCTTTGGCCTTTGTGATTATTCCACTGAGAAACGAAAAAAATCTGCGTAGTTGTCCTTCACAGGAAGTGATAATTTGTTGCATCTCTCAAGCTTTATTGCTCCTTTCCAGTAGAGTGTAAATATAGTAGGCCAATGATTTTCAATTGATGCTAATGCACCAATCATTCCTTTCATCGAATGGGGGCTTAGCTTGTATTAATTAATGTTTCCTTGCAGCTCTACTTTGTTATGGGACAGAGAGCATCTACGTATTACTAGGCATCAATGGAACAACGCAAGGGTCCGTACTGCTCGTGCCGCTAAAACAATTTTCACTAAGGTTTGTTCACTTTCGTCTGATCCCGGTTAAAACAAATTCAAAACAAATCGCTCTGTTTAATCTTTTCAGATCTCTGCATACGGATCTAAAAGTTAGATGATCAACATAATCTAAAAGCCCATCCATAAAGGTCACTGCAAACTAAGGTTCCTGCACGTTTTCTTTGATGTTAGTCTAAAGAGGGTTTTTAAAAATAAAAGGGGATTTACAGCATACACCTAAAACATAAAAAGGTTGACATATTTTCCTCAACACTACACTGTAGCATACCTCAAAGAAATTCGATTTAAAAGACGGGGTAAGTTCTTTTCGAGACAGTCATGGGTTGAAATCTGCAAGCTTACACTGAAATGTGGAGACATGGTGGTGTCTCAGTCTCAAAATGAGCAATTCGTAGGATAGTTTACTGTAAAAGTATTTATTGTGTATGCAATCAAAGAACGGTTTTTGATATATGATAAATATTTTTATTACTGAATTAGAATTTTTGAAAAAATATATTTGTTTGGTCACTGACCTGCAGAGGTGCCATGCTAAGTTTCATGGGCGTAGATAAAGTAATAAATGAACTATAATGTGTTTTCAACGCGGACAGACGAAAGTGAACAAGCTATAACATGCCATCAGCTTGATGGACTGACCAGCCACGCGCCGCCATGATCTGATATTGGCAACACCGAACGACAAGAGGGTTTTCTTCGCCACGATTGGGCTGCAATTCCTCAATGTTTGTTGTTTGTTTGTTTAGTATAGGGTTTTACGGCGCTCGCAACTGCATAAGGTCATATGAGCGCGCGGGACACACCTAATACTTTTTCGTTGGTAGGAAATTTTGAATTTTGCCTGGGTGGCGGCCGAAGCCTACTCTTATCGATTTTAGACCACCAAGGGATCTTTAACGTGCGCAACTTGCACACGGGCCCTCCGAGATTTTTCGCCCTTGTCCGAGAAGGCTAGGTGTAGATCTTTCCTACCAGAAGATCAGGGGTGTGGCAGAAAGACAGCAGTTAGGAGGAGCCAAGGAGTAGCAGTAGAAAGGCCGCAGAAAGAGTCAGGAGCCCAGAGGAGGGGGCAAAGGATGTGAGGGGGTGGGGGCAGAAAGTGGAAATGAAAGCAGACAACAGAACATTGTTAGAGATCAGGAAAGGATGTGAAAGGAGACAATTTTAGAGAAGAAAATTTTTTTGGTCGCTACCCGGAATCGAACCCGGCACCTTTGAATGAGAGGCCAACACCTTAACCTCTAGGCCACGAGAGCCCCGCTTCCTCAATGTTTGATCCAAAACATGTTGCTGTACATGTCTGCTTACCAATCCGCCATTGTGCTTTCTTGAAATAGAGAAAAAGCTGCTTGTTTTCTGAATGTCTGCGCGTAAGTGCATGCTTGACGTCTAGATCTATATTTTTTATGTGCGTGAATGTCGGATATTCTCCTGAAATACGAAAACGTAATCTGATGTAGGGTATTTGTTAGCCGATTGAAATAATTGACCTTTTGGAATAACAAAATTGAAAACACATTTCTTTTCACTGATTTCCTTTCACTGTGAACGCGTGCAAATCACAAAAGAATGTCAACCCCGCTTATGAGTTGGGGAACATCGATCCTAGAAGTGGATGAGAAGAGCTTATGAAAAAACGTCAGTCATTTTTTTTTGTAGGTCATTTTGTCAACCAATGAAATATTTTCATTATCGCAAACGGCGACACGTTTGTTACAAAAAAATCATTTTCCTTTCATATTTGCGACACCAGTAAATCAAATCAATTTTTTAAGGTACAAAAAAAGAGACGCAGTCAGCTAGAACGCATTCTCTCCTGAAGCCTCGGCGAGATCACCAGCACAAAGAATTAAGTTCCTCAAATGTTCTGAAGGATAACATATCTTTGGGACACCACCACCTCCTCAACAACACAAGGATCTTCGAGGCATACTTTTCTTCAAAAGTAAGACATTTTATACTAACAACTCGTTTCACAAATTTTCCATAGAAGTTCTATTTATTCAACAAAAGCAGTGCTAATGGGCTTTCGTCCTTATAGTATAATTTCAAGACGAGTAGGAATATGAAATATTGTGTATTGTGTATGCTTTGCCCTTTTTGTAAAGTTAGAAAGTACTTAAATAGCGGTATTTAAATGAGCTAAACGAGGAACGATCTTAGCCCCGTTACATTAATATCAAACATTAATTTGTCTTCCTTTGTAACTGCAGCTGCTCCAGCAGAGACTTCGGTGAATCTTGTAGAAGACTGAATAATGATTCTCAGTGGAAGAAAGGGCTTTTTTTTTGCTTTTTTTTTTTTCTCCGGGAGGGGGGGGGTTGTAGTTGTTTTTTGTCGAGTCTGTATGCTAGGATGTTTTATACTTAAATCCTAGGTTTGTCCTGATAGGCAGAGTCGAAACAGGAGACCTTCATAATAATCTTAATTTTGACAACGGGAGCATGCAACATTGCGTTTACAGTTACAAATATTTCAGTTGCTCTTGTTCAGATCTTTCATGCTGACGTGTTTATTGGAACCCGCTTTATGTTCTCATTAGCTGCTCAAAGAAAGATAAGATAAAATGACATGAGGGCGAACTGTAAAGTTAGGTCAAATTTGTTTTAGCCTTAGAAAGACACAAATGCGTTGACATTAAGTTATTTTCTGTTTGCAAATGTAATAGATCAAAAAGTTATTTTTTGAAAGAGAAAGCCACAGAATAAAAATGGATGCTGGATAATAACTCGATGCTGCTGAAAATAGTGTATGCACACAGATAAACTTACCAAATCATCTTTATCTCTAAAAAAAGACAAACAACTTTTGAATGAGCACGAATGGACAACCTTCTTTATCTAGCTTCTTAGGAATAGTTTATCGTTTTGCGTGTATTTTTCTTTGACATTACCACCCTTCTGAGCGCAGATATATGCCATTTTCAAGGGGAACTTGGCTCTGTAGTAAGGGTGAAGAAAAATGAAAAAGAAAGAAAAAAACTTAGAATCCACGAAAGTAAATACTATTTCTCTAGTACTTTTATGAACAGGCTAAAAATTTCATGTGTTTCATTCTACAACTACAGGTGCTGTGCCTTCTATTGGTCAGCAATGCATCTATTATGCCCCTCCCTCCCAGTACATTGAGCAGAGATTTAACGTTCATATACGTGTCGTATCTGTTTTAGTTCCCTTCCAACCGCATCTGAATTACACCCTTTTAATATTGCTGCATACCCCGTGGGACAGACACAAAAAACAATAACAACAAGGAAACTGAAGGGTAACG